TACTCTTTGGAACTAACTTCTAGTTTCTACTGTAAAACTCAGACAGAAATATCAAACAAAGTTATAAAACATAAACAATAGTATATACTTAAAAGGTATCAAAACATATCAGTGTCTAAAATCAAGGTACAACTTAAGTGCTTAAGTGTACTTTTCTACATTCAGTTTAGACATGACATTTTACACTTTCACTAAGCGACATCTGTTCAATATAAATGTCTTAACACAACAATTATGAGAAAGACATGATGGCTATGTTAGCCAGTTGGATGAGAGTATTCCAAACTGCATATGGAAGCAACACACTGTACCCTATGATAGAATTAATGTACACAATTATGATCTAATAAAAAAAAAAGTTTCTGGTTTCCATAAAAGAGATTTTCTCCATTATCCAAGCAAGTAGATGAAATGACACTACAAATTATTTAAGAAAAATACATAAATACTTAGATTTGTAAAAAACAGTAAACACTAAATAGACTAACCCAGATGTGTACCAACTCTTATTTTTATAACCGGTACTACATCACATGACACATTAATAAACACATACATTTACTGCAGAAACTTCTTCTTCCTCTGTTTCTTCCTGTGGAATATCATCATTGGCAGGAGAACTACCCTGAAACACATCTACTTCTTCACTTGAATCATTTTCTTTAGTAGCTGCTTGTTTGGAGCGTCCTACACGGCTAGAGTAAAACACATGTAAAATAAAAAGAACATTCCAATCTTTAAATAGATTACCTCATGCTTCAAATGTCATGAATTCTCTTGTCATTTTTGCCCTAAATCACTTAAGAATTTTTTTTTATGTATTTGGAACCCTAAACCAGTGTTTAATCACATAATCTTACCTACAAAGATCTACCAAGTAACAAAAATAAGTGTGACTGAGACCATATGATAAATGATTTCAAAACATAGCCCCAAATTCGCTCTTCCTTTCATCTTTCCTCACTCAGTAAAAGGCATCTATGTCTACTGCACAGATTTCCTGCGTTGAGCAGAAAACAGTATATTAGTCTTATCTGGACTTATAGATTTGACTTCCTTAGCTCTCTGATTTTGCCAAGATTCTTCCTCTTCAGAAACTTCAAACACAAGGTTCTATCCATTAGTGTTCCTGTCTCTACTCTCTGCTTGTCATCCTCTATTATTCTCAAGTAATCAACTCATTGTTCCTTTCCAAAGAGAAAATTACAACTCATCAATCCTCTCATTACATTCTTACATAGTATCCTAAATTTTTCCTTCAGGGCACATATCACAATTCATAATTCCATATTATATGTGATTATTTAATGACTACATGGTAAGGACTAAGAAGAAAAGAATCAAGTCTGTTTTGTGCCACTACGTTCCCTAGTACCTAGAACTCTCTCAAACACAGGAGGTATCAAAAATATGTTAATAGCAACATCTAATCAAATGGACTCTTCTTGATAAATATTTATTAATTTTTAAAATCACAAACATAGATTCTATAAACAATCCAAAATATGTACTGTTCAATTCATATACAAACTAAGCAATTTTTTATGTGGTTCAGTTTTTCAGGATTCATGGAAGAAACTATAGAAATTTACAAGGAAAATAATGACAATCTCTTGAGATTCCACTGAGGTCAGAACAAGAAAACAGACAAATCCTAACGTATTTTATGTATTAGCTCTAAAAAAAGACTTTCCCAGTGAAGGAAAAATAGGCTTCCAAGAAAGAGCACAGAATCTCCTTTTGTATGGTTATTTTTTAAGAGAAATAACTTGTTCGGTTTAGAACATTCATAGGATATGTGTAATTAATTTTAAGAGATAACAATAAATTAAGCCCTTAACTTTGTAATGCCCCCAAATAAACAAATCAAAGTTATGAGGTTTGTTATTTTCCTGCTACATTTTGGGTGTTTCATATTCTTTAAGAATACTTTATTCAGAAACAGTGGTGCTCTCTAGTTGAATCCGAACACATTCATGTGTGAAGCTGCCACAAAAATGTACTTACCTTTATTTTTAACCTGAGAGAAAAATTATATTGAAGAAGGCATAAAGTACCAGCTAGACATTCAGGTAACTTTTCCTCTTCCTGTGGAATACACAGGAACGGGAAAAACAATAAGATAGTAGAGTATTTAACCAAGGTGTGTTGGCAACTTTTAAAAGTTAAGCCACTGATGTAATTACTGTAACCACTCTCAGAAAAAGTGTGAAATATTTCTGACTAACAGGCCATGCTATTCTATTTCACTTACACAACTGAGAAAAATATACTGCCAAATCTACAAATTATAGCATTGATGCTCTTGAGACATTAGTAATGTTTGGTACAGATTTGTTGAACATCTGTCTTAATAAACATGTTTCTGTGAACATCTAAAACCATATGTAAATATACAAATAAATTAATTAGGTCAGAAGACAAAATGAAGATATCAAAAACTTGAGATTGACATGTGCTAATTTCTACAAATATAATTTTAAAAAATCCATGTTACTTTCCTACCATATGTTCAAAGAATAAAAGCAGAAGTACGGAACCTGTTTTTTTAAAAAGGAAAAGGTGCTAATGAGAAACACGAAGAAAAACTGCAGCATGGAATGACAAGGCAACCTCAGGGTCAACGTGTGGTAATTATTTTACAATATCTTTTCATTTCCTTTTTTTTGTTGTTTGTTTGTTTTTTTCAGTTTTGGGTGGGGCTGGGTGGGCACCCTACTCCTTGAGCCACAGGCGCTGCCCCTCTTTTCATTTCTTTAGATACCATAATGTCTATACAGGAAGTAATAAACTATTTGGTATTCATTTATAAAGATTTTTCTAGACCTATGTTATCAGGAGGTTAACTGGGTCATCAATCATCACCTAGGTAAGTTTATAAACATCTTCTTACTTGGTGTAATGGGGCTACATGTATGGAATTTAAACATAGCAATATGAATGTTTATAAGTTTATGAACTTTTTGCAAAATAATTTGAAATGGGTTTGAAATTTAGTATTATTTATAACTTACATATTTTTTTTTGGTTGTGATGGTGATGGCGTTTTTGATGGTCTTCCTCGTCCTTTCTGTGGTGTGGACTGTGTGGATTCAACTGCACTAGTTTCAGGAGATTCTGCTCTGCTTTGGGGAAGACCCAAATGTGGATAGCATCAAATTATGATTTATAATACATTTATATATGATTTATATACGTAGCTTAGATTTACACACACTCACCCCTGTTGTGCTCTCCTTGATGCCCGGTGCTGTTTGCTTTTTGATTTCTGTTCTGTATTTACACTTTGTCGTTCTTCTTCTTCCTCGTCCTCTACTGCTGGAGGTCCAGACTTTTTTTTGCTTCCTTTTTTGGAAGTTTTCATTGTTGGCTCTTCTTTTGGTGTACCACCACCAAGAGGTTTTGATGGACGGCCTCTTTTACCCTTTTTTGGTGGACTGTTCTGTTCATCCTCATTTTCTAATATATCTTCTTTAAGCCTCTTTTCCTCAGGCCACTGCTGTTCATCTGATTCTGAAGCTGTATGGCCTCTTTTCCGACCTCGCTGACTGCCTTTAGGTTTTTGTTCCTGCACCAACTTAGTCAGGTCATCCATACCCAGTTTCTCTTCTGGGTCTATTATGGGTGTTTTCTTACGGCTTCTAGGCTTCTCCAATTCAGACTAAGGGGCAGAAATACATCACAATTTATAAAATTGTTAGTATGCACATTTTGAAGAATAAGATAAAAACATTTATCCGTTTTTATCATAAATATGTACCTAAATGAAGCAAATAGTTCTTAAATACATTAGAATCATAACTATTTACTATAACAGTCTTTAATTAAAAAAATTCTCTGGGGTAAGAGGGTAAATTTTCATTCTTACTTTTAAGCTAGCATCTTTTAAGGAAACCTCTCAAGATCAGTATCTTATTAAGTTATACATTTTAGAGAAAACCCACTTCATAAAAAGAAAATTCTGAATTCAATGTCTGGTCCTCCAGGAACATTATACTAAAGTATGTTTTGAGAGTCAATTTAAGTAATTCTTATTTTATCACACAGTACATAAGACACAAAATATCAGTTACGTATATGTATCATGCTTACATCATAAAAAACTATTTTTACTTTATAAATGGAGATTTCAAGATACAAAAGTCAAATATATTCTTCATTTATTAAAAATTTTGGAAATACTTCTGAATCAGAGATACTACTCTCTACATACAATTAAAAACTAAAACAAAAAAATTTTAAAGTTCAGTGGCTTACAAATTTAGAATAAAATCCTGGTCTATATTAGAGAATTTATGTGTAAACCAGCAGATGAAGACTGAAGAAATTCTCCAAGAACCTAAGAATGAAGAGTATTGTGTGAATGCTTATACAAAGTTAAAAATCAGGAAAAAGAAAACAATAAAAATCAGTAGTTTTTCTGTAGTTTGTCACTGCTTTTCCTGTTTGTGAACTGCCTAATTATGTACTTGGAATTGTGTCCTTTGCCTACTCTGTATACTGGAGTCTCAGTGTTTTTATTTACATTCTTCTACTCTTTAGTATATGTTTGGATGTTATTTCCCACATGTTATGGACTGAATTGTTCCCTCTCCTCTCCCCGCTACCAATACATATACTGAAGCTCTAATCTCTCAATGTAATATTTGTAGATGGAACTTTTGGGATGTAATTTGGTTGAGATGAGGTCATGAGGATGTGGCCCTCAAGATGGGATTAGTGCTTTTATAAAAAAACACCCAGAGAGCTTGTGTATGTTCCTCCTTCCTGCCTCTGATGTGAGGACACAGTGAGAAGGTGGTATCTATAAGCCAGGAAAAGGGCCCTCACCAGGAACGGAATCTGCTGGCACCTTGATCTTATACTGCTAGCCTCCATAACTGTAAGACAATAAATTTCTACTGTTTAAGCCACCCAGTCTATGGTACTTTGTTATGGTAGCCCAAGCTAAGACACTAGTGGATGTAAGATGAGGTGCTAAACTATTTTTCCACATCCCCAAAGAGACATCTAATCATTTTAGAATCAATGACTTGTAATGGTTCCTTTATCTTGTATTATGTTTTGAGAAAAGAAGGTTTCTGGGCCATTATAACAGAAGCACAATATTTTCTTAATTATAAATAAATGTGTTTAGAAGGGCTCATCTTATCTTTTATTATTTCCATCCTACTCATTTTTATATCCATTTATTCTTCCATAGGAATTTAAAACAAAAATCACACTGGAATTTTACAACTTTATATTCATTTAGAACTGTCATCTCTTTTTATTCCTTTTCCCCATGAAGGAGTATGGAATTTCTCCTTTTTCAAGCCTTCTATGTATTTCAGTTTTGAGATTTTTCTCCACATAGGTTTCCCCTATTTCTTTTTAAGGTTATGCTCAAATCCATCAGTCACTCTGTCTATCTCATCTATGTAATTTTGTTGTTGTAGTTATTACTGTAATGAAGAAAATTCCCTTTCCCACAAATGCTTACTGATATAAAATAAAATTACCAGAGTAAAGTTAGTTACATACACACATATGGATATCATGCTGCATTCTTAGTTTTTCAATTGCTTCTATGATTTTTCTAAGACTACAAAAATAACAAAGACTTTGTCTCCTCTTTTGCATTGTTACACCTCTAACTTCTATTTTGTGTCTTGAACTGGTCAACCATACTAAAACAATTTTAAATAACAGGTAAAACTTTTAGCATGTTAAGCAAGTATCCTTCTGGAACTAGTTTACTAAGATTTCATATCTGTCAAGAATAGATTTTAAGTGTTAGGCATGTCTTTTAGAGTGATCTGCAATTATCTTGTTTTTGTTTTTCTCATTTGGTTTATTAATTTAATATATTAATTTAAAAGATTAACTTTAAACTATCCTTACATTTGGGGGAAAGATCTATAAATGACTGGAAGTAGTTTCTTAGTATTTATTTAGAGTTTCTGTGAAAAGAGTAAAAATTAACTGTTGTTATTCAGAGACTGAAAGATGAAAGAAATATTAAAATTAAATTAAATTTAAAATGTCACATCTAACTTTAAATGATATAATTCTTTTTGATGTTCAAAGATCTAGAAAGGTGGTTGAATGCCTTCATACGTTGGAAAAGGATGGTGGTAAATAGGAAATCCACTGTCTATAAAACCATAAAATAATCCAATTTCCTCAAATACCATAATCTCTAATTTCTTTTTCATTCTGTACTACATTATTCTAAAAGTAGAGTATAAAACCAAAGTTGGGAATAGGAAATAGGAGGAAATGTTATTTATAAAGCTAAGTATTTGAATATAAGTGTGTGTAGAGAGTAATTCCTTTGCAGCAAAATTTCAAGGTGAAGCCATACTCTTTCACTATAATCTATGGGTCTTTAAATTGAACTTGTGACTCATAAAGCTCATCTCTTTGAGGGTACTTCCGTTAAAATTAGCTTATTAAAAAGGTTCTTCTAGCACCTCTACACCCAATGTTATACCCTATCCATGCCACAACAGATAGCAAAAGGCCTTTATTACAATTACAGGCAGTCCCTGAGTTATAAGCATCCAACTTACATACAACTCATACTTCCCAATTGGGGCTATTACAGTAAGTTCTTCAGTTACAAACACCCAACGAACAGAGAATTCTACAGGTAGTAGGTAAATGTACTTGTTCCAATCTACACACAACTTCAAGGTAAGAACCTATAGAACCTATCTTGCTCGTAACCTGGGACTGACTGTATACAAATAAATCTCAAGAGCTCAGAAATTTGAAACTGTTAGGCCTGGCATGGTGGCTTACCATCTGTAATCCTAGCACTCTGGGAGGCCGAAGCAGGTGGACTGCTTGAGGTCAATGAGTTTGAGACCACCCTGAGCAAGAATGAGACCCCCATCTCTACCAAAAATGAAAAACTGAGGCAACAGGACTTCTTGACCCCAAGAGTTTGAGGTCGCTGGAAACTATGATATCTGGACACTATAGCAAGGGTGACAAAGTGAGAGTCTGTCTCAAAAGAAAAAGAAATCCTTAACTACTGTCTCAGACAAAGACTTTGCTTTTTATTGATCTAAAAGGTAGAAGTAGATCTAGAATAACAAATTATTCTAATAACAAATATTAAGAATTAATAAAAACTGTGTTTCTCAGCTTTTGTGGGAGTTATGGGGGGGGACAGGATGTAGAAATAGGTGTGGATGTAACTGACCTAGCTGACATTTCTAACAAATAAGAGATCATGAGCTATTTAAGTACTTTTAAGCACCTGGTGACCAACTCTCATGGATAATGAAGGAATTTTTGCACTCAGTAAGAACTAGGACTAGAAGACATAAATAGCTTTTCCAATGCAAGGATTCTTTTTGTAAATTCGGATAACAAGATTCCTTGCAGGCTAAATGATCAACTTTTAATTTTGCTTAGGTGAATTTTTTAAACTGCCACCAAACATCACAATTTATAGCATATGTAGTAAGCATCTGGTAAAAATTTCAGATAATTTTTTTTTTTTTTTTTTTTTTTTTTTTTTTAGACAGAGCCTCAAGCTGTCCCCCTGGGTAGAGTGCCATGGCATTACAGCTCACAGCAACCTCCAACTCCTGGGCTCAAGCGAGTCTCCTGCTTCCGCCTCCCAAGTAGCTGGGACCACAGGCGCCCGCCACAACGCCCGGCTATTTTTTGGTTGCAGCCGTCATTGTTGTTTGGCGGGTCCGGGCTGGGGATTCGAACCCGCCACCTTAGGTGTACGTGGCTGGTGCCTTAGCCGGTTGAGCTATAGGCACCGAGCCAGATAATTTTTTTCTAAGTGGAAAGAGAAACAATCTGACAAAACAATTTTCTGAAGAATACAACCTTGAGATATGTAATACTGGAGCAGTGGAAGAAAACATGAAGAGAAGAGAATGTAAAAGTAATTTTGTTAATACCCTACCTACCTCTATTAATCAAACTGATTCAAACACTTCAACTTTTATCATTCTGATTACCATTAATCAAAAGTATAAATCATTATAAAACAACAAAACAGGACTAACAATTCATTTAGGCTAATCATTTATTCTGATAAACTCAACCAATGAGGTATACATAGTTTACAGATACGAAAACTGATCCAGAGAGCCTATTTATTCAAGAAATGGTTAGAAGCTGAACTGAAAAGTCAAAATGAGTCTAATTATTAAGTCCACTGAGTTGTGCTAGAATACATAACTGTATTCTGTACCGATACCGAAATACCAAATCTGTCTTCGAATGACATTTACAAATTGTATCTATCACAAAATTTACCATTAACATAAAAAATGTAGAAGCTGAATAAGAACTTTATGAGAACTTCAGCATTCCTACCTTTACTAGAAGCCTATACAGTAAAAAGCTCAAGAAATTAACTACATAGAGTAGGCCTTGAAGGATTCTTGTTCCATTCCCATTCTCTGTGGGTAAATCTAAACATACTGTGTTTAAAACAACAAACCAAAAAACCTCAAAATCCCCAAAACAAAAAAATAAGTAGTTGTGAGTATGAAATTGGCATGTGTGATTCCCAAGACAGAATTAAGATTACTTATCATAATGATAAGAAGCACAGAGATTCATACATAGTAGTAGAGGATAATTATAAACTCAATTTGTAATTAAAACCACTAAAAGAGAATCAAATTTGACAGTAATATTAACTGGTTTCAGTATAAAAAATACTATTTATAGAGCAAAATTATTAATATTACTATAAAATCAATAACATCTCACCCTTACAAGATCAGAGTCTTCTCTCTTGTCACTTTTTTTCCCCGGCAAAGGTGAAGACATTGTGTAATCTTCATTTTCGCTGTGATCCATTTCAGAACTATCAAGCCTTTCAATATAGACATTTATAATTGTTATTACCATCAGATAACATTAACAGTTCTTTCTTTCCCTGGTGTAGCTTTACAGCTTTATGGGGAAAAGTTTCATTCTTTTCAAAAATCAATCAGTTTTATTCTACCATATTAGCACCACATCAGTAAGCAATGAAGGGCGTTTAATATAGTAGGAAAATTAAAAGAACACACACATATATAATATTGTTTTTTTTCCCTAAGTCTTTTTAAAACTAAAATGCTATTTTAGGGAGCCAAAAAAGAACAAGGTAACATTTCTTTTTGTTGGTAAGTTAGACTGGTCTATTCTACAACCTGCCCTATCCACTTTTTCATTGTGTATGTAGCACCATTGTGTATTAACACCCTCTAACACACCATAGTTACTACATTTATTATTTACTGACTACCTTTCCCTGATAGCAAGTAAGCATAAATCTTTTACTTGTTAAATAAATTAACAGCACATGCTCTTATGTACGGGTCTAAAGGTCCAGGGATTTGTCCTAGGCAGTCTCATCTTTAACTGGTTCTTAAAGCCATTTATAATTTGTTGAACCCTAAATCTCAATCCCTAGACCAACCATCCTAAGTTCTAAGCTCACATACCCAATTGTCTGCTCAATACTTCAATTGAAATTCTAGTAGGCACCTGAATAGTCTTTTGGACACTTTTCTTTCCCCCACCTCCTTCAAACAAACACATATAAACACACAGCCCTTTCCTCCTCAAGGCTTCTACATCTCAGTAAATGGCACCATCATCTATCCATTTTTTAGGAATTTAGGATCCCTAAATCCTCCCTTTCCCTAAATATTCACATCTAATCAATCCATCAACAAGACCATTTGGATCCAAAACCAAAATAAATCCAGAATTTGACTCTTTCTCCCTTCTCTATATTATTAACTGACTTCTAACTGGTTTTTCTATCTCAATTTTAGCTCCTATATAGCACATTCTGCACAAATTATCCAGGGAATTGCTTTAAAGCACAAATTATACCACTAGACCCCGTGACAGTATCTTCTAATTGCACGTAAAATCAAATTCAAAATCTTACCATGGTTCACACTGTCCAAACATAATCTGCCTCTCAACTCCCCTCTTGTCATTTTCCCCTTAGGCCTATTCTCTAAGCATGCTGATCTCTCAAATATACCTAGCTCATTAGAAAAGAAAGAGTCCTTCTTAACACGTGAAATTCAGAGGGAAAAAAAGTAACAACAGAGATTGGTCAAAGGTTAAAAAAATGTCAAGAATCTTTCAAAAACTATTTAAATGAGAGTTTATACATGTACATGGTGAAAAGAAATTCAAACTATACCAAAAAGTATAAAATAATTTCTGTCCTACACTAGATTATCATAGACACTGGTAAGATTTTGTATATTTCTTCAAAAAACTTTCTATGCATACATAAATATGAATATAAATCCCTTTTCAAAACTTAAAGATACCATAATAACGTTTTATACACTTTGCCTTTATCATTCAATAATGTATTGTAGAAATTCTTCCATATTAAGACAGACTTCATCATTTTTAATGACTACATTTTCCACTGTATAGGTCTATCACAAATTTTTTTGTTTTTTTTTGTTTTGGAGACAGAGTCCCACTATGTCGCCCTCAGTAGAGTGCCACAGCATCACAGCTCACAGCAACCTCCAATTCTTGGACTTAAGCGATTCTCTTGCCTCAGCCTCCCAAGTAACTGGAACTATAGGCACCCGCCACAACGCCTGGCTATTTTTTGGTTGTAGTTGTCATTCTTGTTTGGCAGGCCCGGGCCAGGTTCGAACCCACCAGCTCTGGTGTATGTGGCTGGTGCCCCAGCCATTGAGCCACAGGCGCTGAGTTGATGTACCACAATTTTAAGAGTTTTATAAATGCCTGACACTGAAGTTAGAAACAGGTTTATGCGTACTAACACAGACCCAAGAAGCTAACGTATGAAAGGCTAAGATGGAGTACCCATCCAAAATAAGCAAGCAAATAAACTTGTGACTACCAATGCTAAATGGGAAAGTTATGTGCTCACTTCCACTCACTGACATCAAATGTTTTGGCTTATATTACTTTAGATCTCACAGTCTTGTTGGAATTCTAAATGTGAAGTGTGATACTTCTTCTATACTCACCTCCCTTTCATTCTGCCAGGGGAGCTGGGATTTGAGCTGCTGCTTGCGTTGCTTACAGTTTCCATTCGTGATGATTTGGTCTGAGATTGTTTGCCTGCTGATGAAAGTGGCTTATTAACAGCTCCTAGAACATTGGTTGTTTTAGGCTGAAATGAGAAATGTACATCTCTTTCTATTTGGAAAAGCCAAAGTAACTTACATGTAAAGAACCATAAATAACATCTCTGCCAAGATATTTACATACAAATCGTGAAAAATGTCCCAATCCTTAAGCAAAATAAGAATTATAAATTGAACACCACTTGAACAAATTAAAAACTATGTAGTTTAGTTTCAATTTACTTGGAGGAAAAGGCTTACACAGAAAGAAAAAAAAGTAATGTATACTCAATATGGAAAACAGATAATCACATTCTTGCTATAGAAGAACAAAACGATGCTTTCTATTTTAAGATTTTTATCTTGATGTTAGGATAAAAAATCTAAGGTTCAAGGTCTCTATGGGCTTTATTACAAGCTAAAAAGTCTGTATATCTCAGCTTACATCTATTTAATAAATATAATTATTTCTTACTAGTAAACGGGAAATCACTAATAATTGTACTTTCTACCTTAAAATACACAAAGTTTTAAAGAAATACAAAGTATTTCTTCAAATATGCCAATATTCACACTAAAATAAACTACCACATAAAAGTTAAAATGATTCTCAAAACGTACTTTTCCAGGAGTGAAAAACGATTTCATTTCTGGAGGCAGATAATTTTTGGTGTTACTGAAATTCTATAAGCAAGGGAAAAAGAAGTAGTCAGTGAATATTAAAACACTGTATCTATGAAGTGGTTCAAAAGGCAACGAAGTACAGAGCAGTTTTTGTTCTAAAGTACATAATGAAGTACACACTTTATATGAGCTGAAACACAAAATTTTAGTCATTGATTTTAACTACTGTAATAAGCTGAAACTAATCTGCTACCAACTCCAATATTAACAAAATCTATTGGAGCTCTAGATTAGAGCTCTAAGAGCACATCAAAAAACACATGCTTCTATAGTAACACCCTCTAGGTAAGAGACCACATATTTTCTTGTTATCTTGCTCAGAGAAAGGTGAATCCTTAGTAACAGTCATTTTAGCTACTAAGACAAATTGAAAGGCTGTTCCAAATCTCTATATACTGGTAAGACTTTAATTGCCATTGTACTTAAAAAACAAACAAACGAACAAACAAAAAAGAGGTCAGTGGTAGTTTCCAGGCTCTGTTACTCAGTGCTTTCAGATAAACTATGAGGGAGTAAGAAGAATGTGGCAAACACCTTTTATATCTCATAAACTCGAATGTTTGGGAGAGCAGGGTCTTGGGCTTGTTCCAATGTCTGTTCTAAACGTCTTTCATCATACCAATTTTACATCATAGCAAAGACCTTTTAACGCCAAACAATATCAGCATTCTCCTTCCTATTTTGGACAATGGCCATTAATCCACAAATCTACATGCTTTAATCACATTTTGCCTGTGTTTTTAGACTGAACATAAATACGAGATCATCCTAGTTAATCACTGATCCTTACTTGTGTTCTACAATTTGGCCCATTATTTTAGTCTTGAACCACATTTTTAAGACTCATTGACAATCTTTCCAGGCCAACAGCAGGAGAATAGCTTTTGATACTGATCCTTCTTCATCTTCTCAAAACCTAGTGCTTGAAGAGTACATTTTATTTCAATGTATACAAACAAATTTTAAAGTAACTACCTTGTCAGGTTGAGTGAAAAAACGAGCAGGTAGGACTGGGTCTTTAGGAGATTCCAAACTGTATGTAGTGCTCTTTGACATAATGATATTCATGGCAACATCACACACAGTGTACAGTTTCTGCAATGGTATTTTAAAAAAAATTAGGCACTTAAGTAGGCAGCCTAGACTCTGAAAATTAGAAATAATTCTAGAACATGCATCCAGTCTAAATAGTAAATTAATAAAAGCAATAGCCAGTGTAAGCTATGTTTTCACTAGTTTATTATTTACTACCAATAAAATACTAAATAGAAAAAACATTTAATGTCTATAAATACCATTTTTGTTTCATACCTTATACCAAAATGTTTAAATCAACACAAAACCATAATTATTCACAAAGAATCACATACTTCATTCATTTTTGCATCATCTGGTCCTTGGGCATCTTTTGTTTGTTTAATATTTTCTACCATTTTTCTGATAAACGCATGACTGTTATTTTCATTTTTAGCCATTAGTATTTCCAGAACAAACCAAAGACATCTAAGAAAAAACAAGAAAAAAAGAAACACAATAGAAAAATAACCTTTGTTAAATAAAGATAAATAAATTCTAAATATAATGAACCTAGATCATAACTCTTAAGAGGAAAAAAATTAAAAATAAACAAGCTACAAACCAGAAAGGGAAAAGGATGTATCACACATACATATAACAACAGGTCAGCAATGCAGACATGAGCTTCTCAGTCCCTTTTTAAAGTTTAATTCAATTTCTCCAAGGAAGCAGGTTAAAAAAGAAATAAATAGTGGGAAGAATGAAGTCATAGTTGTAGCTGTCACAGGAAGTAAAGACTGCCTAAACAAGTGAGGCCTTGGATATTCAAGACCAATTGTAGTCTTGATGAGAAGTCTTCAAGAGAATATAACTATCTTATTAAATAGTTAAGCATCTTTAGCAATAAAGAAGAAAAAGTCATCGTTGACAACCATGTGTGCTGACTTTGCTTAATGAAGGAAAAATTTAAAAGTTTCAGTAGCATAGTAGTTTTAAAGTTAATTATATGAAATATGCAGTAAAAAATAAAACATGTTTTGTTTATGTAATATAAAGAGAGAAAGTGACAGGGCTGTAGTTGATACACAAAGGAGAAAAGTCATGGAAGAAGGAAGAGAGAAATGTGAACTAAAGTATTATTTTAGAACAGAAATAACCTTCAAAATCTCAAGTACAGGATATGTGTTTCTAGGGTGGCTCTCTGGTAGAATGGCAATTAATTACTCATGGCTATACTGGGGCAATTTAGAAATATAGCCAAAAATAGTAAATTCCTAAAGTTATTTTCTCTATTTAAAAAAAAAAATGTTCTCTGATACAGAGATATGGCTAGACATTTTTACTATAGTCATTTTAACATAGAACTCAATTTGGGAGAACTAAATGCTTTTATTTTTCAAAATGAAAACTGTGGCAAAAAAAAGAGTAATTGCTTTTTCCCTTGCCATGAGTAGTAATAATTTAATTTCTTTCTCCTGAGATAATATCTCAAATATGGAAAATATCTCTATGTATTAAGAAACTAAGGATTTTCTTTTTTTTCCTTTAATAGGGAGGTAAGGCATAATAAATTAATTGATTCAAAACCACAGGTTAGAAAACCAAATATTCGACATTTTCACTTTCATACTGTATTTACTGTATCCCAAGAGTTAATCACAATTAAAAAAAAAAAATTGAAACATCTGTTACAATTTTTATTGTAACAGAAAGAGGACCAGGGTCTCAAACTTACTACATTTTCCCATTCTAAACTCTGACATGTATTGTGTTTTCAATAATCTTTGAAAAAAGTACAAATGCCATAAACTCTACTTAGAGAAACATTAATAAAATTTTAAGTGAGAGTACTTCTCTAGTTATAAACTTGGCCCATAACTAAATTAGACTATTTTCTATTCCTCTGGTGGAAAACAGTTACTGTGAAGAAAAAATATGCTTACTACATAAGTAAAGGAGAATATTGCTTCAACTTATATAAAAAATCTATAGTTTCAGAAGGAAGTAGGAAAAGATAAAGAATGAAATGGAAACTTTTAATGGATTACTTCAATAGAAAAGAAATGCCAGACGGGTAGAGAAACAGAAGTACAGTAATTATGCTTAATTAAGTCTTAGGAAATTACATTAAAAATGTAAAATGAAGAGATGTTATTAAAAAAGACAAATAAGAGAGCAAATAAATGAAAGCACCTCTAATATCCCCAAATAAAATATATCCATAAACTAATTGAGATCCCATTATCAGCATTAAGGAGAAAAAACAACTTTCACAAAACATGAAAATGGGATGGAAAAATCTTACTCTTTAACATCTTTAAGTTGCTCAATATCTTGTACTTTGACATAATCTGGGTCATGTGCCAAAAGGTGAATTGTATATGGAACAACATACTCTGGTAGAAGAGATAATAATTTCTCTGAAAAAGAAAAAAAGAAAAGAAAAAGGAAAAAACCAATAAAACAAAAACACCCAGGTTAGAAAACCAAATATTAGACATTCTTGCTTTCATACTGTATGTCCTGTATCCCAAGAGTTAATCACAATATAAGAAAAATGTATTGAAATATCCTCTGTTGAGGTCTGTGATACATTATACAGTTTATTCATTCATCCATCATGTCCACTATTGAAATGTGTACTACACACAGCATAGGCTGAGGCTAAAAGGCAAATATTTCAGGTTTAAAATCCATATGGAAAAAGTCACTGAAACAAATGACATTTATGACTGAGAGACATAAGATCTACTTTGCCTCAATATTTAATTTTCTCTTGTAAGCTGCTGAGGAAAATTAAAAACTTCTAGTAAGTCTTTCAGCCAGTATGGCACAAAATTAGAAAGTACAATTTGACACTATCTGTTATAAAAGAGCATCTTTTTTGTTTAAATTCAAATATTCTGATATGCTAAGATTAGCATGTTCTGTTAGAGACGTCAGAATGGGAATCCTAACTAAGTTTAATTAAGGGTATGTAAAAGCACTTGTATTTATACTCTGGACAATTTCCATTTATATTTCCTATTTTCAAAATAAAAATTGAAATTAGATGTTTAATCTAGTGTATAATATATCACTTGTGTCAATAAAGCACCAAATTTTCTTTATTTCTACTGCTGAACTTCCAGAGAACAGTTTGTGCATATCATTCATTTCAAGCCAGGCACAAAAGAAAAAGTAGTAAGGTTCACAATTCAGGGTTTAACTATGTTCTAGGCCTATGCTGGAATCTAAAAATACAAGGATGAATAAGATTAGGTGAAGAGTTTATACTTAAGCACCAACCAAGACAGAAGCTATACTTCAATGTGAAAGGTACCCTGGCTCGGCGCCTGTGGCTGAAGTGGCTAAGGCGCCAGCCACATACACCTAAGGTGGTGGGTTCGAATACAGCCTGGGCCTGCCAAACAACAATGGTGACTGCAACCAAAAAAAAAAAAAATAGCCAGGCATTGTGGCGGGTGCCTGTGGTCCCAGCTACTTGGGAGGCTGAGGCAGGAGACTCGCCTGAGCCCCAGGAGTTGGAGGTTGCTGTGATCTGTGAGGCCACAGCACTCTACCCATAGGGACAGATTGAGGCTCTGTCTCAAAAAAAAAAAAAAAAAAAAAAAAAAACGAAAGGTACCCTAAAATAATAGCTAACACATACCAAACACTTTTTTGGGCCATGCATTATGACACATGCTTTATGTATATGATTTTTTATATCTCAATAATCAGAAGAAATGAGTACAATAATACCAATTTTACAAATAAGGACACTAAGGCACAGATGAAATAGCCAGCCCAAACAAAACCACTAAATGGCACAGGTAGGATGTGACGGCAGAACCATCACTTCTTCCAAGAGAAGAAAAGAAAACAAAGAAAGGAGGTTATAAAGAGCAGTAACACCAAAACTGTATTTGAAAGGATTCAAAAGGTGCAAAGCACTTTACTCCTTGCTGTTTGTTCATTTATTTGTTTGTCTGGAAGGGGCAGACAATTTCCAGATAACGTTGACAACAGAGAAGAAAGATGGCTACACAAATTTCAGGTAATCTAGAATACACAGATAACAGTATTCATAGTAGGGCATGGACAGAGAAAAAGCTTATAAATGAAACCTAGCATGCTAAGGCATTTCAACTTTATCCTATGAGAATCAACAGAGGGATTTCAAGCAAGGAAGTGATACTATCTAATCTGTTTTAGAAGGATAATTTAGATAGCAATATGGCATAGTAGGATTAGAAGGAACACTTACAACAGAGCAGTAGCATATACAAAAACCCAAGTGAAATACAGCCAAGTAGGAGAGTAGAGGATAGATATTCAAGACATTTGGAGAAAGAATTAACAGAATTTGGTGATGAATGAGAGGGAGGAAAAGGTATGAAGAAGCCTCTGATTTCTGACTTGAGTAAGTGGATGGATTTTAATGCTGTTTGTTATACAAGTCATGAGGTATACCAACTAACCTCAATGGGATAAAAGTGAGCAGATGAAAAGCAGACACACAAGCACTGAAACTAATGTCAGCTACAGGTAAGAACAAAGATCAAAGACATACTTTTTTCAACTAAAAGACAGCACTTGGATAATCTGTATAGATGTACAAATTTTACTATTCTATTAAAAGCATCTCCAATGTCACCATTTTCATTGGCCATTTATTTAAAGAAACTCAGGTTGATATTTAAATACCCGTGTATTTACATTTTTAAAATGACCTATATCAAATGAACAGCAGTTGATAGCTTCTTAATACTAACTTCCTAAAATTATTTATTATTAGAGCTAATGAATAATAGTGTATCATTTTGTATTCTACAAAACTACAATTGTCGGGCTGAAAAAGAGTACTTTTCATTTTCCTATATGCTTACCACTAACAGCTGCATGCTGCTTCAGATACTCGCGTCTTACGTTTATATTTTTCACCAAACATTGTCTAGCATGAGCTCTTCTCTCTTTTACAGGATCTTTTGCACAAAGTGCACAGATTGCCATATACTCAAGTGGAAGCCGTAAGCGGGAAAGGCCTTTGTGAAGTTTCTGGGCAAATACTTGTCTTACTTGATAGCATTCATCCTGCAAAGACATAATTATTCCAGATTATTATCTACGTGGCAGCAGAGAATAACAACTTCAAATATGAAATCTACACTAAAGAAAGGTGAAAAAGTTAATCTACAATTGTTGCTTCATTGCGCACAAAAACAAGATGCTGCGACTCAGGTGAACTTCAAAGCTGTAGTATTCACCCAGGCCCTAATAACAACCAGTTACATGTGTGAGAAAATAAATGTACTTTTAAAATAGAAAATACTTGTAAATAAAAATCCATCCTAATTTAAGATAGAAAACTTTAAAGCTTAAACACTATCTCATAATACAGTTTTTTCATTTACTGAGCAAGATAAAACTGCTGTCCAGTTTATACATTTCCATTCTATCACCGAAAAATCTATTCGGAGTAAATGCACAATTCTAGCTGGACACAGTGGTGCACACCTGTAATCCTAGCTACTCGGGTGGCTGAGGCAGACATAGTAAGACATCATGAAAAGAAAACAAAGAAGGGCTTGGCGTCAGCCACATACATCAGAGTTGGCGGGTTTGAATCCTGCCTGGGCCTGCCAAACAACAATGATAACTACAACCAAGAGAAGAAAAAAAAAAAAGCCAGGCACCTGTAGTCCCAGCTACTTGGGAGGCTGAGGCAAGAGAATCCCTTAGCCCAAGAGTTGGAGGTTGCTGTGAGCTGTGATGCCACAGCTCTCTACCCAAGGTGACACAGAGAAACTCTGTCTCAAAAAAAAAAAAACAAAGAAAAAGAAAAAGAAAAAAGAAAGCAAGCAAAGAAAACAGAAGAGAAAAGAAAATAGCAAGAAAGAACTCAACTCTGAAGTTACCCTGAGAACACCAAATTAATTTTAGTCCTATTATTAACCCAAGCTATTTATTACCCCTCTATATACCTGTTTACCTCACACTATTCCTCTCTCCTAAACTACCTACCCTTACTCTCCTAGCTAACTCCTACTCATCCTTAAAGACAGCTCATGCATCTGCTAGAAAACAGTGCATAATCTGCATCTACTTCTGTGCTATCTCAACCCTTTGTACCTATCTCCAGCATAAATCTAGTATATAGTATCAAAATGATTGGTTTCTCTCTGTCTTGCGCATTGGTACTAGTTCCTTAAAGAGCTATGTCCTTATGCACCTTTGTCTTATAAGACTAACGCAATACCTGGCATATAGATGATCAGAATTTTTTCCTAAGCTTCAATACTCCTCCCTTATCCATGGAAAATACATTCCTGGATAAGGATGTTTGAAAATGAGAATAGTACATGTACATAAACACATATACACACTATGTTTTTTCCTATATATACACACACACATACACGATAGTTTATTATTTAAGCATAATAAGAGATTAACAATAACTAATAATAAAATAGAACAATTATTAACACTATACTATAATAAAAGTTATATGGATATGGTCAGTCTCTCAAAATATCTTGTTACGTAACTAAAACTAGGGATAACAGATGAATATCTCTAATACTGATGCAAAAATATTCAATAAGATCCTAGCAAACAGAATCCAGCAACACATCAAACAAATTATACACTACGACCAAGTGGGTTTTATCCCAGGGTCTCAAGGCTGGTTCAATATATATAAATTCATAAATATAACACATCACATCAACAAAATAAAAAACAAAGACCATATGATTGTCTCAATTGGTACAGAAAAAGCTTTTGATAATATCGAGCATCCTTTCACGATCAGAACACCTAAGATAATAGGTATATAAGGGACATTTCTTAAACTGATAGAGGCCATCTACATCAAACCCACAGTCAATATTATACTGAATGGAGTAAAACTGAAAACATTTTTGTAGCAGCCCATACATATAGCCTATGGCTAGGAGGAGTGAGACTTATGAGAAATACCTATATAGCTCAATAATAGAACACCTTGGTGAAAAGGGCATGGAGACGGAGTTTAGCTCTCCTAACAAGCATGAGAGCTCACGAGATGAGAGCATTGGTTAATTGGCAGTCTCTACACCTATGGTGTTGAGAGGCACAAGATCAGCCTATATTAGGCTGGAGAAGGTAGTCGGGGGCATGTGCAGTCTGACCCACTTACTCTGACTCTGTCTCCTCTCCTACCTGCAGAACGCCAGCATGGCACCTCTCTGCTGAAAATTACTAAACTCTGCAAAAGACTAAGATCTATCTTTCTAAGACTTAAGACTGCTTTACTTTCTCCTTCTCTCTCCTGCTGAAGTAGACAGCTGTCAGGCACCTAAGAGAAATTGTTCCTGAGCAAGATAGCTTAGCAGTCTGCATCCGAAACCTAGTTAAGCCATGTGTGAGACCTGGCCAGTCACAGGCCCTGACACATTTCCACTAAGATCAGGAACCAGGCAAGGTTGCCCACTGTTTCCACTGCTTTTTAACATTGTAATGGAAGTCTTAGCCATTGCAATCAGGCAAAAGAAGGCAATCAAGGGTATCCATATAGGTCCATATAGGACCAGAGGAGATCAAACTTTCACTCTTCACAGATGGTAGGATTGTATACCTGGGAAATCTCGGGACTCAACTACAAAACTCTTATAAGTGATCAAGGAATACAGCAGCATCTCAAGATACAAAACCAATACTCACAAATCAGCAGCATTTATATATACCAACAATAGTCAAGCTGAAAAACCAGTCAAGGACTCTATTCCTTTTACAGTAGTGTCAAAGAAAATAAAATATCTGGGAAGAATGTACCTAACAGGACATGAAAGATCTCTATAAAGAGAACTATGAAACTCTGAGAAAAGAAATAGCTGAAGATGTTAACAAATGGAAAAACATACCATGCTCATGGCTGGGAAGAATCAACATTGTTAAAATGTTCAATGTACCCAAAGCAACCTACAGATTTACTGCAATCCCTATTAAAGCACCTCTGTCATTCTTTAAAGATCTGGAAAAATTACTACTTCATTTTATATGGAAACAGAAAAAACCTCGAATAGCCAAGACATTAGAAATAAAAACAAATGCTACCAGACTTCAGACTATACTATAAATCTACAGTGATCAAAACAGCATGGTCCTGGCACAAAAATAGAGAAGTAGATGTATGGAACAGAATTGAGAACCAAGGGATGAACCCAGACACTTACTGTCATTTGATCTTTGATAAGCCTATCAAAGATATAATTTGGGGGAAAGATTCCCTATTTACAAATGGTGCTGAGTGAATTGGCTAGTGACTTGTAGAAGACTGAAACTGGACCCACACCTCTAACAAAAATTGACTCTCACTAGATAAAAGACTTCTTAAACTTAAGACATGCAACTATAAAGATTCTTGGAGACAATGCAGGGAAAATACTTGAAGAAATTGGCCTGGGAGAATACTTTATGAGGAGAACCCCCAGGCAAGTGAAGCAATACCAAAAATACATTACTGGGATGTGATCAAACTAAACAGCTTTGGCACTGCCAAGAACACAGTAAAGCAAGTAGACAGCTCCCAGAATGGGAGAGGATTTTTGCAGGCTATGTTTCTGATGAAGGTCTGATAACCAGAATCCAAAGAGAACTCAAACTTATTAATAAGAAAAGAACAAGTGATCCCATTTCACTGTGGGCAAGAGACTTGAACAGAAGCTTCTCTGAAGAAGACAGGTGCATGGTCTACAGACACGTGAAAAAATGCCCATCATCTTTAATCGTCAGAGAAATGCAAATCAAAACCACTTCGAGATATCAATCTAACTCCAGCGAGATTAGCCCACATAATAAAATCCCAAAACAACGGATATAGATGTAGATGTGGAGAAAAGGGAACACTTCTGCACTGCTGGTGGGAATGCAAACTAATATGTTCCTTTTGGAAAGAAGTTTGGAGAACACTCAAGGAACTAAAAGTAGACCTGCCATTTGATCCTGCAATTCCTCTATTACCAAAAGACCAAAAATCACTTTGCAACAAAGATATTTGTACCAGATTGTTCACTGCAGCTCAATTCATAATTGCTAAGTCATGGAAGAAGTCTAAGTGCCCATTGACCCATGAATGGATTAATAAATTGTGGTATATATATATCATGGAATACTATGCAGCATTAAGAAAGATGGAGACTTTACCTCTTTTATGTTTACGTGGATGGAGCTGGAATATATTCTTCTTAGTAAAGTGTCTCAAGAATGGAAGAAAAATTATCCAATGTACTCAGTACTTTTATGAAATCAATTTATGATTACTCACACTTTCTTGTGAAAGACAGATCACAACTATAGCCCAGGATGAAGGAGAGCAGTGGAGGGGAAAAATGGGGGAGGGGGAAGGTTTGATAGATGGAGGGTAAATGGTGGGACCACACCTATGGAGCATATTGCAAGGGCTCTATAATCGATTATCAAGTATAGAACATAAATGTCTTAACACAATAATTAACTAAATGAGGTGAAAGCTATATTAATTAGTTTGACGTAAGCACTCCAAATTTTATAAAAAATCAACACATTGTATCCCACATATGCATAAATGTATTCATGATCTATGTGTATACGACTAAATAAAAGGAAAAACATATTAAAAAAATAAAAATAAGGGCGGTGCCTGTGGCTCAGTGGGTGGGGTGCCAGCCCCATGTATGGAAGGTGGCAGGTTTGGACCCAGACCTGGCCAAACTGCAACAAAAAAAGTAGCTGGGCATTGTGGTAGGCCTCTGTGGTCCCAGCTACTCGGAAGGCTGAGGCAGGAGAATCACCTAGGCCCGTGAGTTGGAGGTTGCTGTGAGCTGTGTGATGCGCCACAGCACTCTACCGAGGGCGATACAACCAATAAATAAATAAATAAATAAAACTAGAGACAAGAGAGGACTACCATTCAAACTTTTCAAAGTGGCACAGAATATAGACCTTCATGATTACACCTTACTCTCCACCAATTAATGGAGAGTATTAATTGGGTATGGTGTGTTTCACATTAACATACCCTTATGTACACCATCTTACGTACAATATTTCTTCGAATGATCATTTAGGTTTTTAAAAAACCTCAGTTATAATATCTTGCTTTTATTATTAAGTCCTTGTTTTGTGTATCTTCTTTCACTTCAATTTTATTATAAGTTTATTTTAATAACAAATGCCAACTTACAAAGACGTAATTTGGCTTTCACAGAAATATTTTCTATTATCTACCCTCCCACTCAACAAAGTTAAAATTAACTTATTCTTTCCTCAATATTTACTCCTATTGGGGAGAGGAGTCTTCATTATCTATTTATTATGAAAATACTACTGAATGAGTAAAAATCAACATATCACAAATGTATCCATAAATGAACATGCCATTCATTAAAAAATTAATCTCAGCCGTGTGCAGTGGCTCACACCTGTAATCCTACTACTTTGGGAAGTTAAGGAGGGAGGATAACTTGAGGTCAGAAGTTTAAGACCATCCTAAGCAAGAATGAGAACCCTTGCTACTAAAACAGAAAACTTAGCCAGGCATAGAGGCATGCACCTATAGTCCTGGCTATCCAGGAGTCTGGGGCAGGAGGATCACTTGAGCCCAGAAGTATGTGGCTGCAATGAGTTATGATGATCCCACTACACTTGAGTCTGGACAGCAGGGCAAGACCCTATCTCAAAAACAAGTAATCTCTACTCAAATATTATTGCTGCCCCCTACTTTGACAGTGTGTGTGTGTGTGTGTGTGTGTGTGTGTGTGTGTGTATATATATATATTTTTTTTTTTTTTTTAAAGACAGAATTGCACTCTGTAACCCTGGGTAGAGCATAGTGGCCCCAGCCTTGCTTACAGCAATCTCAAACTCCTGGGCTCAAGTGATCCTCCTGTCTCAGCCTCCTGAGCAGCTGGGAATACAGGACCCCCCTCAAATGCCCAGCTAGTTTTTTTTCCTATTTTTAGTAGAGACAGGATCTTGCTCTTGCTCAGGTTGTTCTCAAACTCCTGAGCTCAAGAGATCTGCCTGCCTTCCAGATTGCAGGACTGAGCCACCATGCCCAGCCATTAGTTTGACAGTGTCTTCAACAAAGACCATGTTTTTGTCCCTCTCCCTAATCATTTAGGATCCAACAACACAATGCAAATTAACTGCAACGTCAATCTTTGAATCATCATTAAAGCAGCAGGCAGATTTTCAAAAAGTCATTAAAGTGGCATGGGAGAACTGTCAAATCACAGGCAAGGCAACTAATATATAACCGAAGTAAAAAAATTGACAGGAATGATGACATATTGATACTTCAAGAGAATCATTTGAATACAGAATTTTAAAAGGTGCTACTTAAAATTGAGGAAGACTTTGATTTGTTTTTTGTAAAGATGACTATCTTTTTGACTAAAATTAAGTAAATATAATTTTATCAGGAAAATGTACTCACAAAAGCAAATATTTGTTACTTTCACCAACAGGGTTATAAAAAGTAACTGGTTAAACACAACAAAAAAAGCAGGTGGTATCTAATGGTACAAAGATGCCCCCAAAGGTAAAGTTCCAATCAAAGGTTTTACTCGTTACTGACTATGAAATTAATTTTAAATTAGATTAAGTTAAATTTAGTCTAAGTAATTTACCTTAAGTAAATTCACTTTTAGTATCCTTTTCTAATACAACTCATCCTCAGAATTATTGTCCTAATCAACACTATTTTCTGTTCTCCCAATAGGTTGTTAGCTTCCTGAGGACTAAAGCAATGACTTAACTTATCTTGGCATCCTAGAACCTATTTATAGCACATAGCAGTATAAATTTTTTATGAACTAAGTTCCAAATTCTAAAATCTAAGTAATTATTAAATTATGTTAAGATTCATATTGTTGAGTATCTATTCCTCTAAATTTACTTTTTGTTAAAATACATGACAAGGGCCTCCCAGATACAACACTGCCTTTTAAGAGCCTCAACTCAAAAATAAACAAAACCACATGAATTTAAGTAGCTAAAGCACAAAGCAAAGTTTTATATGTACCTCAAAAATTGTAGACAAAATCCAGAGAATTAAAAAGAGACTACTTTCAGCTAAAAGAATATGAGCTGTTTGTGAAAAAGGTTGTGCCTGAGCCTGATTAGCAGAAAGGGTTGGGCTGGATGTATAAAAATGAAAGGGTAAGAATAAAATCAGAGGCAGCAAAGTACAAGTCACATAAAAGAAAAAGAAAATTATTCAGCTACACCAAAATGAGGGTAGGTAAAGGATAGCAAACAAAATAAGATGTGCAGTTAGGACTAAATACCAGAGGGGTTCGAATGCCAGGTTATAAAATATATGGGCAATTTTTACAAGCATGAGCCCCTAATTATTCTTTGAAAAAGAGAATATAATCTGATTGAAACTATGATTAGAAAAATTTATCCAAAAATAAAGTAAGCTTTGGTGAAAGCTAATGATGGGTATAGCAAAAAAAGTGGTTAAGAAAGTATGAATAAAAATGATACAATGGTATAAAAGTCTGAACAATCTGTCCCATTTAAGTGGCATCAGAGATTTTTAAAAAACTTAATGTTGCTAATATAGTAGCCACTCACATGGATCATGAGGTGGCCGAAGAAGAATGTCTACGTGTTGAATCTAATCCTGGACAGATCCTCACAGAATACACACATTTAAAGAGAAAGAAGAAGAGCCAGAAAATATAGTCAAAAAAGACAAAAATCAAGAGACAGAAATCAAACAAGAGACTTTCAAGAATAAAGGAGCAATAAGCTGAGTGAAATGATGCAGAAAGGACAATGAAGCCTGATAACATCACTGGACTTGAGGACTGCAATAGGGTGTTCTGGAAAACAAGGCAAATGCCAAAATATGTACAGGGACGAGAGGATAAGAAAGAAAAAGACTTTGATTACACTTTCTTGAGGTTTGAAAGTTTAAAAAGAGGAGATAGGCATATGGTTTAAAGAAATAACAGAAATAAGAGAAAGTTTTATTTAGAATGAGATAACTTGATATGCTTGTAAGTTGTGAGAAGATGCTAATAATTGACTGTTACCATTGGGACATATTCCATAGTCAACAGAATTCCAAAGAAATCTTAAAACTTCAGCTATATGAACTTTCACCTTGGGAATTTGGTACCTGAGATGGCAATGTATATAATACAGTGCTAGAAAAGAAAGCCTCTACAAGTAAGTGTGGATACTTTTGCACATAATAATACATAATGGTTGGCACTTAATTTGTATATACTATAAGTCTGTAACAAAGGCTATCTCTTTTTATATTTTCAAAAATTTTTATATATTTCTACACTTTTAATTTATACTTCAATAATGATAGTACCATTACTCTAAGAAATACCAAAAATCAACAGATTGCCAATTCAAAAACATAAATACAAAGGTTGTTTTCTAAGAAATGTAATATATATTTTAAATAATTTTCAGTTTCTTACAAAATAAAATTATCTACAAAATTAAATAAGGAAACTAAACCAGGAAGTTAGGTGCTTACCAAAATCTCATTGCTCAAATAGTCTTATTTAAATAACAACTAAATTAGAACAAATTATAAACAGGATTTGGAATAGCTGTTTTAAAGACTAAAGTACCAGAAACTGACAAAATGTTTACAATTTAAAAATAGATGATTGTGTCTAGGGGTTATAGATAAGCCGCAATTTGTAATCTAGAGAGAACAGGAAAGGCAAGGGAAGAATTACAATGATCCCTGAAATAAATTCTTAAGATTACTTGGAAAAGAACAGAAAAACTAAGTGTAAAATAACCACCCAAGTCCATCCTCCCAGTGACTTGGGAAGCTGAGACAGGAGGATCACTTGAGGCTAGGATTTTGGGATTAGGTGGGACAATACAGCAAGACCCTGTTTCTAAAAAACAAGTTAAAATTTAGTTAGGCATAATGCTGCATGCCTGTAGTTCCAGCACTAGGAAGGCTGAGGCGCTTGAGCCCAGGAGTTCAAGGGTACAATAAGCTATGATCTTGCCACTGCACTTTAAACAGAGTGAGACCTTGTCTTAAGAAAAAGAAGAAAGGAAAAGGAAAAAGAAAAAGGCAAAAGAGAGAAATAATTTCTGTTTTCTCTCCTCTTTAGGAAAGAAGAAAACTACTACAAATAATAAGAATCAACTGTACTGTGTTAGCAACCCAAAACTCAAATGACAGTTTTAGAACTCTGCAATGCTTCTCACGCACAAATTTTTCAAAAGAAAATATACACATTCTAGATTTTAATCTAAACATCATAGCAGATGGTTTTCTTCCTGAAAGTCAAAGCCCATGTAGTCATTTTACATTGCCATTTTCCTTACGTTGATAGCTAATGCGCATAGCTGATACTGTTCTAATGTGATGATTTCATGGTAACAGGGTTCTTGTGCTAGCTTCACAATAGCACTCCCAGCAGCAAGTCTCAGGCGTGACATATCTGGTTTACTGAAAAATGAGCAAGAATGAATACAGATTAGCTTCCCAAATGTCTACATAAAACTCTTCCTAATTTGTATGATTTTGTAAAAATTCTTCTAAAAACGAGAAAAATGAGAATGTGTAATGTTTGTATACCCCCCCGAAAATCATCTTACAATTCAAACACCAAGGTGTTACATTAGGAGATGAGGTCTTTGGGGAGGCAATTAAGTCATGAGGGCAGAGCCCTCATGAAGGGGATTAGTGCCCTCATAAAAGTGGCCAGAGGGAGCTTGTCTGACACTTCTGCCATTTGAGGACATAGCAAGAAGATCAAGTTTGTGGACCAAAAGTCTACAAATCAGGAAAGGGCCCTCACCAGAACCCAACCATACTGGTATCCTTATTTTGAACTTCCCAGCCTTCCAAACTGTGAGAAATAAATTTCTGAGTATATTTTGTTATAGCAGCCCAAATGGACTAAGAAAACATTTTAGTGATAACTAAACACCAAATTATGTACACTTAGCTGTGGAAGCTGATGCCTAACATTATGAAATTCTTCTCTTAAACATACGTCTATGACAGTGTCACTAAAGTCATTTAATTCTGCAAAAAGTAGCTAATAGGAAAGCCTAGTAAAATCTATTTATAAGTTTAATTATAAGGTTTTAATATTCCACTATAGAATTTTTGAGATATGTTTACGTATAGATTAGAAATAAAAATGTCTTAACCGTACATCAACCACAACTACTATGCTCAGCACAGAAGAAATATAACAAAAGCAGGTAGAGTGGATAAAACATTACTATTCTTAGCTAGGATTAAACTTTTTGAATATTACCAAGAAACTCTTTTTCAAGTTCAAGGACAGAAAACCACTAGATGAAGCACACTTCACAGTATCTGCAGTACTAAATACATTTAAACAATTTCCCCTAACATAATGATTTATTAGCTAAATTAACAGAGATTTTAAACTAATGGATAGAGGGCAAAGTCATACTCCTTGGAGTATCATCAACACTCATATTAAGTATCTCTATTATATATATTGCAGTAAGGAGGATTTAAAAGAAAAGATATAGTCTTAGTTTACTAAGATCTAATGACCTAGTAAGTTAAAGTCTCTTCCTTTATCTTTCTAAGGATTGTGTAAAAAAATACTGACTGAATGCTTGCCAGTATTAGTAAGGTTCTAAAGTTGCAGGACACATCTCAAAGGTGCTTTTGAATTCATCAATGACAATATTCCAAATGGCTATTAAGCAGATAAATCATACTTCTTACTGCAAAGAATACATGCCAATGGTTGAATGTTTATCCCACAGGCATGGACAACAGATGCTGCCTACATATTTGTCCTTAAAATTTCCCATCTAGACAAGAGGTTTTTATTTAATTTAATCCAATAAACTTAAAAAACAAAACAAAACAAACAAACAAAACTCATGACATGTAATTCCAGGAAACTTTTAGTTTCTGTTTTCAGCTTTATTAAGCAGAAGAAACTTTCCTTCAAATAAAATCTTACACAAAAGTTTAAAATGGAAACCCACAAAAAGCCTCCTGTGTAAACAAAGGAAAGAATGCTACACCTAGCCCCAAGGCTCTATCTACTTTGTTTCCACCCTAGGCAGGCTCCTGAACGTTTCTGAATGTCATACGGGTTCCAAAGAATAAAGCTTCCATGATACTATATGCTAGACATACCATTCCAATTACTTTACATACCTTTATAATTTCTTACAAAAACCCTATAAGGAGATATTATATTTTACAGATGAGGAATCTGAGACAAGAAGTTAAATAATTTGCTCATAAATAAAATAAGCTGATCAATGGTGGAAGGTGAAACCTGAATTTGAAGCTGGCAGTATGCTTTCAGTGTGCCTCCAATATGCCTCCACCACTAAAGTATACTGCCTCTAAAGTTTATACAGCTGAATATTAACTGGGCAAATAAGTATAAAATAATATAAATAATATATTAAGAGACAAAATGTTTAGCCTTCAGGGAAAATTTTTTTTTGCTCTACCAGGTTGAGCTGATCAGCACAAAAATATCTCAAATTCCATAAAAATTTTATATCAAAACCTACTTATAAGTCCTGCACATAAAAATTAAGGGAGTAGAGAGATGAAAAAAATTAGAATATAAAAAGGTAGCTAGATGATAGTATATACAAAATGAATAGTTTACCAAGCTTTACATTTTTCTATTTTATCTGAGTAGAATGCGCTACTGTTAACATTCTATGCAAAGAATATAGTATAAGTAAAACATACAAGGAGAATAAAATGAGGAAGAAAGGTAGAAAGCAGCTGGTAGTCACTTTTTTATGTTTTTTCATGAAAGTATTTAAACTAGATATATAAAGGGGTAAGTTATTCACCTATTTTGTGTTACCAAGAAGTGACACTAATGGCAACTATGTTTACATAGAGAAGAAACTGCTAAATTTTAGCTAACACTGACATAACCACAACCACCAACAATGGCTCATTACTAGATGCCAGGTAGTGTTTTAAATACCTTAGGTAAACTACCATGTTTCCCCCAAAATAAGACACTGTCTTATATTTATTTATTCTCAAGAAGACACACTAGGGCTTATTTTCAGGGGATGTCTCTGCCCTGAAATGCATCACTAGGTCTTATTGTCGGGGTAGGGCTTATATTTAACAAATGCATAGAAATCCTGCTAGGACTTATTTTGGGGGTAGGTCCTATTTTTGATGAAACAGGGTAACACACCTAATTTTATCATAATAGCTAGATAAGATGCATCAATAATAATGATACATAATCATCATTATTTCTATTTTATAGTCAAGGAAACTGAGGTACTGAGAGGTTAAAGCAACTTGCTAACAGTCACCTAACTAGTAAGTGGTAGAGACAGGTTTTGAATTCAGGCTCCAGAGTCCGTGATTTTAATCACTATACTATACTATATCCTTCAAACAAAATAAAACAAAATAAAACAAAAAAGTGTGTTAGTTTTAAAAAAAATGTATATTTTAAGAACATGTAGTGATTTAACTTCTGGCAAAAGACTCAGCAAGTTGCCTTTTGTCCTTTTCCCTTCAGATAGTAACAAGAATATAAAACATCATTTATTGATTGGTACACTAACACTTTCATATTAGATGTCCCCAAAGAGTAAACATCTATTGTTTAAAAACTTACAAAGTTTAATAGTCCCCTGTACCAGATATGTGACTGCCATTAAAAAATAACCGTTGTATAAAAGCATATTATAGTAAAAATATAAGCCTATATACAAAGCAATACTGTATTTTTAAAAAAGCAATTGTATTATTCAACTATTACACCAGGAGTTAAAATAATGTACAATCCAAGGAACTGTGAAGTAGTAATTACATACCTAATTTTTCCCTGTTCTGTTAAGTCTCCATCACTATGCAATATTGTTGTTAATAATCTTAAGGTAGAAGTTCCTGATTTACTGTGATTATTTTTCATTCCAAGTAGCCATCGAACCATCATTTTAATAGCCTGGATCTATTTAAAAGATAAGTTGACAAATAGTACATTTTAAAAGAATTAACTATTTGAAAACAAAATCAAGACATGTTTTCAATGGATGTTTTTAAGAAAAAATAATTATTCACATATAATATGTATAATTTGAATTTTTTTTTTTTTGAGGCAGAGTCTCACTTTGTCGCCCTGCAACATCACAGCTCATAGCATCACAGCAACCTCAAACTCTTAGGCTCAAGTGAGTCTCCTGCCTTAGCCTCCTAAGTAGCTGGGACTACAGGCACCTGCCATAATATCCGGTTATTTTTAGAGGCGAGGTCTTGCTCTTGTTCAGGCTGATCTTGAACCTGTGAGCTCAGGCAATCTACCCATCTCGGCCTCCCAGAATGCTAGGATTACAGGTAAGAGCCATTGTGCCCGGATGCTTTGAATGTTTTAAAGAAGTTTCAACCATCAGAGGAATGATCAAAAAAAAAAAAAGAAATGAGTAAAGACTCATTGAGTCATGAGTAAAGCTGTTTTGTTGTTGTTGTTGTTATTGTTGCTGTTTCTTTTCTAAACTGATTCTTCAAAACACATTCCGCCCTTTATAACCTAGAGTAAAATCATGCTAACTTCCCTAATCAGATAAGTTCCTAACTTTTAACTATATTCAAATTTTTCTACCCTAAGAGGTATCACTCTACATTTGTACTACATTTTATAATTATGAAGTACTTTTACACCTCTTACTTCCTTTAATGTTTCCAACACCCTTTTTGAAGAATTACATATTACCTCTTTCTTAAAAGAAGTACATATCCTATCACACTATGTACTACTTTTTCACATTTTCTAGTTTCAGATTCTGATACTATTTTTGTACCCTTGTAAAGCAGCTTTACCTTTAACATCATTGAATAATGCCTGATACTGTGAGCGCGATTATAAACCTATTTTCTTGTAAGAAGCCCAAGTGCCCATCGATCCACGAATGATCAACAAACTGTGGTATATGTACACCATGGAATACTATGCAGCCAT